TTTTTTTTATCAACTTAAATTAGTGTAAGAATAATAAATTATATAATAAATCTTAATTATTGATTCTACTTATATCTGATGACTCATATGAATAATAAATTAAAATTATTAAACACAAGTGGTATCAGTGTAAAATTTATATCCTTCCAGGAATAAATATTATATAGTAAAATTACTTACAAAGCATCCACAATTAATCGGTGACTCAGAAAAATTGGGAATAAAGCTACAGTGCCCTTATTCTCATCATTGACAAAGTATTTACCAGCAAGTGATAGCTGGTAAATTCTTTCTGTTGCACCATTGTCATTTGTGCGGGTGGAACAAGTAAGAAGAGAGTGACTTGCTAGAAGACACAGCATGCGGTCTAGCCTACGAGGCAATTCAGGGTGCTGTATTGGAAGTTGAGAAGCAATGTCAGATGCTGATACACCAAGTGGGGTTGCCTTAGCTATGATCTCAAACAAGTTGAGTTCAAGGGCAGCATTCAATACTGCACAATACATCATTGGACTACAACTAAGTTGCATAGCTAAGACGCATGAATTATATTCCTCTGAGTCTGCATTATGAGGTGAACTTTTTGGAAGCTGATTCTGTTCACAATTGGAACCCATATTGTTGCTTCTTTTAGTTTTTTTTTTGCTTTGTATGTTACCATGTTGCTCTTGCTTCTGTCATATATAGGCGAAATTCCACAGCACAGCACAAGCATGAAGGGTGGTCTCTATCGAACTTGCCTACGTAAATTGCCTACGAAATTTACCTGGCTGCTAATTAATGTTATTAAATTTGGATCAGTAAATGGTAGACTCGGTTACGTTTCTGAGTTGTGGATCTGTCGGTTAAATTTATATATCAATGTATAACAATAATAAATATATTAATAAGTGTTTCATGATAAGAAAATTGCTTTGGTATGAGTGAACATACATTTATCCATTCCAATGGTGCAAGTTTGATTTCCCCGGTTTGAAAATTTGACATATTTTATCAGGTCTTATACTATACTATGCACCAAATATGTTCTAAAAGTAAAAAAGATGGGGGAATGAATCTCTTTAGGTATTATTTAACATAATCATGTTATTTGGAAGGATCTTAACCATATAAGGATCAATCAATGATGATAAAGAAAAAAAATATATAGAGATAGGTAGATTCAAAATCATCACCGTTGACTTGTCTATTGATGGATAATATCCTTTCACATGACATGATCATATTAAATAACACATGAGATGATTAATCTTCAAAAGACCAGTTCACCAATTTCCTACTAGTTGAATTGTAAGGGTCCCTTTGGATGGACAATTTTTCTCAAAAGCTATATTTCGAAAAAAAAGGCACTTCTAACTGTAAATTCGTTTGGACGTCTGTTTAAAAAAGCAGAAGTCATAAAAAAAAGCAAAAAATCTATTTTTTTTGGAAGTTAAAAATTTTAGCTTATAAACAAAGCAGAAGTCAAATGACAAATATTTTTTTTCAAAAACTAAATATTTTTTTATAAATATAAATAGTTTTAACTTTTGTAAAAAGCACTTCTAAAATAAATAAGGCATAAAAGCTGTTTGTTTTAAAGGCCAAACAATCAAACTCTAAATCCTATATACAATAGCCGAATCGGTCCAGTTTTCAATTAAATCGGAAAGTCCGATATGGGTTTAACAACAATGATGATAATATGATTTAGTCTAAATAAACATCGTGTGTGTGTGTATATATATATATATATATATATATATATATATATATATATATATATATATATATATATTTCTCTTATGTTGTAGGAAAGAAGTTACCTCATGTTGTAGAAATAAAATTACAAGTGAGACCCACATGTAAGAGGGGAGAGAGAAAAAAAAAGTAGTGGAACCCATCCTTTTGTGCGTGTAGGAAAATTATTTATCTCATGCAAAATGAGATAAATATAACCCACACACACACATATATATATATATATATATATATATATTTGATACATTAAAGTAAAGACAAAACACAAAGAAAAAATAGAAAGACAGGGGAGCTTCTAATGAGTTTGCGCATGCCTGGCAAAAACCACATCCTTACGGTCAACCTGGAGTTGACACCATAGCCCTGAGAGGAACTCCAGGTGTACCAGTAGATAATTTGCCAACCTGTCTGCGCTGGTTGCCTTCCCGTAAAACATGAAAAAATCGAACATTCAATTGACTACGATCAAATGCTCGTATTCGAGTCACTAAGTGGGACTCACGAGCTTCATTGCCTTCCTTAGAAAACCATGAAATGATTGTTTGACAGTCACTTTCAACTAAAATATTTTTGAAACCTACCTCCCAAGCTAACTTCAACCCTTTAAGCACACCCCATATTTCCACTTGTAGAGCATCACATTGACCAATACTTGCAACAAATCCTCCTAGCCAAAGTCCCATTTGGTCACGTAGATGACCTCCATAAGTTTCCGCAGTCATTTGACCTTTTGAGGCCCCATCTGTATTTAATTTAACATATGGAGTCAAAAGGGCATGCCAGCTAACATCCCTGGAAACTTGGAAGTGAGGCCTCATCTTTGTGTCTGTATAGGCAAGTTGAATCTCCTTCAAATGCTCAAGTATTCGCTGATTTATGTGTCGGTCCCCATTGGGAGCACTAGCATGGGTAACTTCGTTTCTCCAGCTCCAAATAAACCAACAACAAACGATAAAAAATAAACTCTAGGCAAAACCTCCCAAACTCATGGCATCACAATCCAATTATCAATCACCCAATCATCCTAATTGGCATCAACGAACTGAGCTACTCTATCATGTGAAAATAAAACATATCAAATATCACGGATCACTGGGCAATCACGGAAGACATGTATCAAAGACTCCCTCTCCTGGTGACAGATTAAGCATAACGGATCTGCCGTAGGCAAACTTTTGTGCAGTAATCTCCAGAAGAATATTTGAATTTGGTGAGGACTTTTCCAATTCCATAGCTTGTTCCAAACCATCTAAAAATATTGTTAAGCTGGAAAGACTATTTTGCAAGATAAAGATAGCAATTACTGACCTATATTATTGCCATTCTATCCAATAACCAGAAACTTCTATCTGGGCCATCATGTATATTCGGAGGGAGAATGCTTTTGATCTTTTCAACCACCTCCAAATCAAAAAGTTGTAGCATTGTGTTGAAATTCCACTTATTATCATGTCCAACCACTCGATTGAGTCGACAAATCCTCAATTCTTCGGGTACATTGCTTCGAACTTGATCCAAGCGATGAATAAAGGGGCCGATCCACTTGTCCTTCCAAAAAGAAATTGTCTCCTTGTCTCCGATTTCCCAAACTATGATATCTTGCATATTGATCATGATATTGCAAATTGTCTTCCAGAAAGGAGAGCATCCAGCCTTAGGGATTAGCAGTTGACCAACTTGTGCCTTGTATTTACCTTGCATCACACTCGTCTATAGAGAATGAACTTCATTTTGAAAGCGCCATGCACACTTCACTACAAATGCATCATTCATCAAAGCTGTTTTCATCAAGCCAAGAGAACCCATCTCCTTTGGGTTAGTCAGGGTGTCCCAACCCACCGCATGATATGGTCTATTATAATTAGTATCCCCTAGATAAAATTTCTTTGAATTCGGTCTAACTCATTTCACACTCCTTGTGATAATCTCGCGTACTGCATATGGAAATAGGGGATGGAAGACAGGACCGACTTCACAAGAGTTACTCTTCCCGCCTGAGATAGGCATCTTTGTTGCCAACCACCAAGTTTACTATGAACCTTTTCTACAATATGTTGATAGTGTTGTTTCGTGGCCCGGTCATCCACCATCCAAGCACCTAGATACTACCTATATTCTGAACCCTTTTGGACCCACTTTTAATTGCCAACGAAGATGCCAACTCCTTTGGGGTATTAGGTGAAGAGAATACTAATCTTCACAATGCTGAATCTCAATCCTGAAATCTCTTCAAATAACAGAAGACATTTAAAAACAATATCCATCTAATTCTCCCTCGCCTCAAAAGCAAAAGATCATCCACAAACATTAAATAAGATATTGGGGGTCCACCTTTCCCTGCCTTGATAGGATTCCATATACCTCCTATAACAATCGTGCATATGATATGGAACAACTTGTCCATGGCTAAAGTGAATAAATACGGGGATAGGGGGTCACCTTGCATTACGCCACGAGAAGGGTTAAATTATCCATTCTTCCTCCGTTCTAAAGAATATTAATAGACGAAGAAGACATAGCCTCCATTATTAAATCAGTCGTCTGAAGCGGCAAGCCCACCTCATATAAGACATTTTTCAGGAAATTCCAATTCAGTCTGTCATAAGCCTTTTTCAAATCAACTTTAATAGCCATAAACTTTCTCCCTCTCATTTTATGCATACTGTGTACCAGCTCTTGTGCAATCACTATGTTGTCCTTTATCAATTCTCTCTATCCCCAAAATAACGTGTTATAGATACAAGTGATCATGTAAGAAGAGAAAGAGTCCCATCTTCTAGACTAAGGGACTATTATTGTTAGCAGGGGAGGGTGTACATAAACCTGTAAATATAGGAGACACGTGTAGGGTAACAAAAGAAGTAGAGAGAATACGTGGCAAATAAAGAAGAGTTAGTTAGTAGTTGGGGATTGTATAAAAGGCACTTGGAATGTAACAGAAAGGGATTGCTTGAATAATATTGAAATTCTTACCCATTTTCTCATTGTCGTTTTCGTTCTCTCTCCCTGTTGCTCAGGTAGATTGTAACATTGGTGCTTTCATTCTTGATCTCACGATGAGGGTTCAGGAGGTAGCAGAGGAGGTAGCTTCTCTGACGCAACGTTTTGGCGAATCTCAGAACCAAATCGCGTTTTTGGTGGCTCAAATGCAGCAATTGAATGAATCCATTTTGGCTTTGCAATCGCGTCCATGAAGTTCTTCTGAAAGTCATCCAGAACAAGGGATGCATGTCGCGTCGCCAGAAGAAGGTAATTCACATATGGATAAGGGATGGAAATATGCTGTGGATCCGAGATCACTGTTGAAGTTCGTGAAGATGGAAATTCCACTATTTGATGGGGTAAACCCAGATACTTGGATTTTCAGAACAGAGCTTTTCTTTGATTTGCAGCGCGTTCCACCAGAGCTTAAGGTCCAATTAGCGGGTCTGCGCATGGATGGATTGACTTCGTCCTGGTTCCAGTGGAAGTATCGAAGTGGAACCATTAAATCATGGACGAAATTCACTACAGCGTTGCGTCAACGTTTTGGAGTCTTAACTCAGAAGCATATTAGGGGTACTCTTTCCAAAGTATCTCAAAAAGGTTCGTTGAAAGATTATTTTAGCGAGTTTGAAATGTTGATGAATCAGACTCAAGATTTAAGTGAAGAATTATTGCTGAGTTTCCTTGTTTCTGGACTTACTCCTGACTTGCGAAGGGCTTTGGAAATTCATGATCCCAAATCATTACAGCAGGCTATGGAACTAGCAACTGTATATGATTCCCATTTTTCTGAGTTAAAGGTGTCATTAACCTCTGGAACACCGAAGGTTACCTATCGTTTAGCTCAAGGTAATATGAATAATAGTAATACAGGATTGCGATCCACTCCTGTGGCTTCATCTAATTCAGTTGCAACAACAGCAACTACATCTTCAGTAGCACCTAAAATTCCATTCAGGAAGTTATCCAGTGAGGAGATGAACCGTAAAAGGGATTTGGGGCTGTGTTTCACATGTGATGAGAAGTGGAATTCGAAGCACAAATGCCAGAGTAAGATGTTGTTGATGGTGGGAGATGATCATGACGAAGATGGTGAGGAGGAAGAAGATATAGTGTGGAATGCACAGACCATGGCAACTGCAGATGCTGCCTTACATTCCTTATCTGAAGGATCTGTGACTAAGGCCTTCAAGTTCCTAGCTCAAATCCATGGGAAGAATATTCCTATTCTAGTAGACACTGGCAGCACACATAACTTTGTCAAAACAGAATTGGCAATTGAATTGGGACTTCCCATGACTCGTATTAAAAAAATGAGAGTCTTCCTTGGGAATGGGGAATTTATGGTGTGTGATCATAAGTGCAGAGATGTGCATCTGTGGTTACAAGGAGAGGAGTTTATACTGGATTTATGGGTGTTAAATCTTGAGAAATTGGAGATGATACTGGGAATATGCTGGTTGGAGCAGTTGGGGAGAGTGACACATGATTACAAAGAGATGGCAATGGAATTCACATGGAGAAATAAGGCTATTCGACTTGTAGCTCAGAAGACAAATGGACAGCAAGCAATGCTCGATTACCTTCAGGCTGAGTGTTGGTCATTACAACAAGAACCAACTTCAGAACAGGTATACACTGAATTGTCCATATTAAAATCTTCTGTCAATGAACTGATATGGCAGATTTTACTCCAACATCAAAGTGTTTTTTCTATTCCCAAAGAATTGCCACCTTTTAGAGACACAGTACATGCTATACATTTGGAGCCAGGTTGTAAGCCTGTGAATGTGAGACCTTATCGATATGGTCATCATCAAAAAGAAGAAATTGAACAGCAGGTGTCTGATTTATTAGCTTCTGGATTCATCAAACCAAGTAACAGTCCTTATTCATCTCCAATCCTATTGGTGAGGAAACAAGATCAGTCATGGCGTATGTGTGTAGACTATCAAGCCTTAAATAAAATCACAATTCGAGATAGGTTTCCAATGCCTACAATTGATGAGCTGATGGATGAGTTGGGGGGGGGGGGTCAGTTGTGTTCTCCAAATTGGATTTGAGGGCTGGTTACCATCAAATAAGGATGCTGCCACAAGATGTCCCAAAAACTGCATTTAGGACACATGAAGGACACTATGAATACTTGGTTATGCCATTTGGTTTGACAAATGCCCTAAGCACTTTTCAGGCAGTCATGAACCAGTTATTCAAACCTTTCCATCGAAGATTTATCATTGTATTCTTTGATGATATCTTGCTATATAGTAAAGCAATGGAAGAGCATGCTCAACACCTCAGTATTACACTTCAGTGCTTGCATCAGAATCGGTTTTTTGTCAAGCTAAGCAAGTGTGCTTTTGGTGTGGGGGAAATAGAGTATTTGGGCCACAAGGTGTCACACAATGAAGTACAAGCAGATGACAAGAAGATAGAAGCCATGATATCTTGGTCGGTGCCCAAAAATGTCAAGCAATTGAGGGGATTTTTGGGACTTACTGGATATTATAGAAGGTTTGTGAGACAATATGCTACAATAGCTGCACCTTTGACTGATTTACTAAAACAAGGAGCATTTGTTTGGTCTACAGCAACTCAAACAGCCTTTGATCAATTAAAACATGCCATGGTTCGTACACCTATTCTGAGTTTACCAGATTTCAAAGTCCAATTTGTGCTGGAAACAGATGCCTCCAATTCGGGTATAGGAGCTGTGCTGTTACAAATGGAGAAACCGATAGCTTTCTTTAGCAAAAGACTGGGTCCCAGGTTAACCATGGCATCCACGTATGTTAAAGAATTGTATGCCATAGTCGAATCAGTCAAGCGATGGAGACAGTATTTGTTAGGAGTTCATTTCACAATAAGGACAGATCACAAAAGCATCAAGGAGCTCTTGGGTCAAACAGTACAAACGCTAGAGCAGCAGAAGTATATGTGCAAACTTATGGGATACTCTTTTACAATTGAGTATAAACCAGGAAAGCTAAATGTGGTGGCTGATGGTCTTTCTAGAAGCTTGGAAGAGAAATCCGAATTGCATGCTGTTAGGATGGAACCTTCTTTCGAATTGTTTTCCCAAATACAGCAAGAAAATGCAGAGGACACCTATTTGCAAGCAATGCACCAACAGCTACAAGTTGATCCTAGTGTGGTACCTTTATTATCGATAAGGGATGGCATTCTTTTCCATAAACAACGGATTCTGCTCAGCTCCCAGTCCAAGTTAATTCCTCTCATCCTCTGTGAAGCTCATGACTCTTTCGTTGGAGGCCATGCTGGAGTGCTCAGGACTATGTTACAGATTTCTTCATCTTTTTATTGGGATAATATGAGGAAACATGTCAAAGAATATATACAACAATGCCAATTATGTCAGCAGATGAAAACTGCTACACATGCTCCATATGGTTTGTTGCAACCATTGCCTATTCCAGAGGGTGTGTTTGAAGACCTCACATTGGATTTTATTGTGGGATTGCCTCTTTCCAATGGTCTCACTACAATTCTGGTCACAGTGGATAGGCTTACCAAATATGCCTATTTTGGTGGTTTGCCAACCTCTTTTACAGCAGCTAAGGTGGCCCAATTGTTTTGTGAGTTGGTGGTTCGTAACCAAGGTTTTCCAAAGTCTTTAATTTCTGATCGTGATACCATATTTCTCAGCCAGTTTTGGAGGGCGATGTTCAAGTTTAGTGGCACAACTCTTAGGACCAGTACATCTTATCATCCACAAACGGATGGACAAATCGAGGTTACTAACATATATGTTGAACAGTACTTGCGCATTTTCTGTCATGAACAACCACAATCTTGGTCCAAGATGCTCGGCTGGGCACAATTCCACTACAATACAGCAACACACTCAGCTATTGGCTTTTCACCTTTTCAAGCTTTGTATGGTAAGAGCCCCATATTGATTCCTTTTTATCCTAGAGGTATGGTGCGGGTTGAAGCAGTTGATTACATGCTGGAACAGAGGAATAAAGTACTAGCTAGCCTTAAGAAGAATCTCCACCAAGCCAGAAATCGGATGAAGATCCAATCTGACAAACATAGGCGTGAGAAGATATTTCAAGAAGGAGATTTTGTATGGGTGAAACTTCAACCATATCGTCAGGTATCGGTGGAAAAGAGAAGCTGTCATAAACTTGCAAAACGGTTTTTTGGACCCTTCAAGATTATCAAAGTCATCAGTGAGGTGGCTTATAAACTCCAATTACTAGAAGGCAGCAAGATTCATTCCACCTTCCATGTGTCGATGCTGAAACCTTGGTTTGGCCCTCCACCAGATAAACCAGTATTCATGCCATCGTTTACGGTTGATCATAAGCCAGTGCAAGTACCAGTGGCAATTTTGAATACCAGACTTGTTTCTGGTCGAGGTCAGCAGTTGAAGGAGTTCTTGGTCCAATGGTCTGAAGCACCACCGGAAGATGCTTCATGGGAGCAAGAGGAATTTTTGCAGAAGGCATATCCAGAGCTTAACCTTGAGGACAAGGTTGTGGTTGAAGGGAGGGGGTATGTTACGGATACAAGTGATCATGTAAGAAGAGAAAGAGTCCCATCTTCTAGACTAAGGGACTATTATTGTTAGCAGGGGAAGGTGTACATAAACCTGTAAATATAGGAGACACGTGTAGGGTAACAAAAGAAGTAGAGAGAATACGTGGCAAATAAAGAAGAGTTAGTTAGTAGTTGGGGATTGTATAAAAGGCACTTGGAATGTAACAGAAAGGGATTGCTTGAATAATATTGAAATTCTTACCCATTTTCTCATTGTCGTTTTCGTTCTCTCTCCCTGTTGCTCAGGTAGATTGTAACATAACGTAATTTTAGAATTGTTGGAAATAAATTTATCTCTTGTAAAGAAGAAATAATATTTCCATAAAATAAATAAAATTAATTGTGAAATAAAATATAGTAGATATCATTGCACCACCCCAAAGTAGCATGACACAGAGGCATGCATTGTTATGGTGCGTGCACGCATGGGGATTTAAATAGTGAGTGACATTGTGTGTCAACTCATCTTCATTAAGAATTTTGCACAAGTTAATGCCTAACGTTTCCAACTCCATTTGAAAATGACAACATGTTCGTTCATATAATTGGAAGCACGGGCTTGAGAGACACGGATGCTGCATGATATAAAATTACTGATATTAAAAATTCATACTTCCTTTTTTATTTTATAAATTAATATGCGACCACATCAACGCCTTTGCAACAAGTTAACAAGTTGATTATCGATTATATTTATCTTGTTCCAGGTAATTCTCAATCATATGATTATTTTATACAAAATAAAATAACTATCTTGATTGGAGTGGGTTTAAAACACAATTTTGATGGTTTACGGCTGTTTTTCATTTTTTCTGTAAACTAAAACTGAAATTGACAACAGATAATGCTACGTGTTATAAAATTATTGATATAAAATTCCATACATACATTTCACTTTTGACGCAATGTATATTGTTTATTCTATATAAGATCACAGCAACGCCTTCACAAGTTTACATACATATCTTGCCTGATTTTTTGCACTAATTGCGTCTTTTTTGGGTATCTTTCACAATACTATTTATCTTGATGCAGCTAATATCAATAACAAGTTTATTACACGTTCCATACACGAAAAAAAAATGATTTGTTTATTTCGTAAAAGTTAATGTAAATTTTAAATAAATTTTATAAATAAAATTTTCTTGGATACAATTATTAAAGAAATAATTAAAAGATAAAATAGTAAGGGATTTGCAACTTAATATTGAATGATATCTATAATAGACTATAAGTGACTCCAAAAATCTGCAATAATAAATTCTTTGGAAGAGATTTCAAGGACATCTGTCTCTGTTTCTCAATTGCTCACCACTTTGCAGAAGATGGAAAATCAACTATTGAAAGAAGATTTAGGGAAAAAAAAGGAATATCAAAAGGTTTCATAAAATAATTTGGATTAAGAGACTAATATATATCATAATATGTAGTTTATAAAAAAAATAAAAATAAATTTCCTGATACATATAAATTACAAGAAGTAAGTGTAGACACATGAATAATAAAATTTTTAATGACAAACATAGTTTTAGATGTAGAATGTGTCTCTTCGCTTTTTTTTAGTTGAAGATGGTTTACCATAAATATATTTTATTAAACTTTTTTTTGTAATCAAAAAAAGGAATAAATATTTCCAAATTTCAGGTAATAAATGAATTATTGGATATTAATTACTGCAAAAAATTAACTTCAGAAGACGAAGAAGAAAAACAAACACAAAAAATTTAGATTATATTAAGAGTAAATACCATTTTTGATCCTCAGCAAATTTCATGATGCCCCTTTAAGTCCCTAGCAAATAAAAAGGCCCATCGTGGTCCCTAAGAAATTCAAAATTGACCCATTTAGTTGAAATTGTGGTCACTCACCAATTCAAAAAAGACCCATATTAGTCCTCAAAAGGACTAAAATGGGTCCATTTTGAATTTTTTAGGGACCACGATAGGCCTTTTTATTTGCTAAGGACTAAAACGGGCCTCGTGAAATTTGCTGAGGACCAAAAAAAGTATTTACTCTTATATTAAATATCATAAGGTCAAATAATTAATGTTCAACCTCATGTTAAACATTAGACAATCATCCACAATTGTTCAATCAAACAACAAATAAATATTAAGACATTATATATTTCCTAACTGTCTAATAATTCTCAAATATATAGTTCAACAACACTCAAAACAATGTTGATGCTATACAACTTCTTCCCCAGTAACTATGTCCATACACAACTTCCCTTTCTCCAGCAAGATGTCTCTGGCTTCAGCAATAGAACTAATAAATAAAAATTGTTGGGGTCATTATATTGTATTAATAATATAGAATATAAAAATAATATGTAGCAGAAAATTATAAACAAACAAATAATGGGTAAGTATTAACTCTTTCTCTATCTTAATTTTTTTGTTAGGACGGTTAACTGAACAATTAAAATCTTCTCCAGCAAGGTGTCTCCGGCTTCAGCAATAGAACTAATAAATAAAAATTGTTGGGGTCATTA